CCAGACAAGGGGAGAAGTTGGGCTGGTTTCATTCCCCAGACAAAAAAAAAAAAGTTTTGGGGGAAAACCCAGCAGTTTAAACAACATCTCTTTCAGTAACGCCAGAGAAGTGAATCACAGAACAATAGAAACACAGAATTGCTTAGGCTGGAAAAACCTTTAAGATCATTGAGTCAAACCATTAACTTAGCACTGCCAAGGCCACCACTAACTGTTGTCCCTTGGCACCACATCTGTGTGTCTGTTAAATCTCTCCAGGAATCCGAGAGTCACAAAATGGTTTGGATCAGGAGGAACCTTAAAGCCCATCCAGTTCTACCCTGGATCTAGAAGGAAGACTCCTTCCACTAGACCACATTGCTCCAAGGCCTGTCCAACCTGGCCTTGAACACTTTCAATATTATCTTCTCCAGAGTTCTTCCTGCAATTTGGTTCTGAGGGTTTTTGTCCATCAACAAGGAACATTTTGTTCTGAGATACCCACACAGAACATTTCTAACCAAAGTGGTATTACCTGTGAGCAGGTCTGCAGGAGAGGGGCCTTGCTGCCAGGGGTACTGATGCTTGTTTCCTCCATGAGATTAACTCATTCAAGGTGCCAAAACACGGAATAAGTTCCATTTGTGTGTGTCTGGATTTGTTGCTTGCATTCCTGGCTGTGTAGCCCCTGATCCTCCCAGGTATTTCAGGGCATGACAGCACCCCTGAGCATCTGTGGGATGTGTGGAGGTTTGCAAGGTTTATTTGTCTTCTGCAGAGAATTTCCAGGGCAGAAGTGAAAGACTGTAGCTGTTGTCACAAGTACTGCACTTCCTGAGGTGCCAGAGCCGGGGGAGTTTTCAGAAATGTGACTGACACCCAGACTGTGTCTTTATTGCTGCTTATCCCTAAAGCATTGCTGAGTGTGATGTGACCTGGCTGGAACGAGCAAGGGCTCAGCTCTGACGGAGGGAAATGACCAGCTGAAATGTAGCTCTGCACGGCAGGAAGGTTCTAAAAGGATGTGAGGACGTGTGGGCAGCGGGACGGGAGCCCAGGGGAGGTGGTGAGGGCGTGTGCGGGTGCAGCTGGGCTGAGCTGGGTTTCTCTTCCTTTTTCTGCCTTTCACAATCGTACTGGGTTTGTGAGGGGGTGGGGAGCAGGGCTGGGGTGGGAGACTGCTGTCTGGGGCTGTGACGTGGCTGAAGGGGTGGGGGACCCTGCTCCTGCCTCCCTGTTCCCCAGCCTGCGCTGGTGTCCGGAGTTGCTGGTGTGGGCACAGAAGGGTGATGGGCTGGTGCAGCCCCAGCAGCCCTGGGGCCCCTCTCCTGGTGTCACTGGGGCTGCAGGTGCCAGGGGACCACAGCACTGGGGCTGAGCCACAGCTCTGCAGCGGGGAGGCCTCGTGCTCAGGGGGGTCCTGAACTGAGCAGAAACTCAAGGAGGGGACGAGAGCAGGTGCAGATCCCACATCAGCTGTAACTGGCAGCTCCTCGTTCTGGCCCGACAGAATCTCAGGCTCGATGTCACCACTTGGGTTTTTTTAATTGGAAAATTGAATTAATCAGAACCAAGCTTCTGGATTGCTTGCAGAAGGTTTATTGTTCTCAGTGCAGTTGTCATTAGCAACTGTACATCAGCACTAAGGGTGTGACTAATAGGTCTTTGAGTGATGGCAAGGAAGAAGGAAGTGGACAGTGGTCACTGGGAGTGAGAAGTTATGTGCCCTGCCCGTGCTTGCCAGGCTGATGCAGGGTGCCAGGATTTGGCATGGCAGTAAAATCACTGAATCACAAATGCCAGAATGATCCACCACTGCCCTGGGCAGCTGTGCCGGGGTTGACTCTTTCCTTTTCCTACCGTGGGAAGCAGCGTCCCACCACCTGGAAAAGGTGTGTGGTGGGGCAGTGTTGCTGGTGACTGTTCCTCCCCTGCACACGCTCTCTCAGTGGGTATGATGCCTTTGAACAGGGTGTCCCCTCAGAGCACCAAGGGCTGTTTGATCTGGGGAGGTGTTTTTGTCCTCCACGCCGCAGTGACCAGTGGAGTTGCAGCGCAGGGGAGATGCCAGCACTCTTCAGGAGCAGATTCCATCCTGCTCACTCCTCAGAAGAAGGGGTCTGTCCCATTCCAGCTGACGGTGGCACCTGCCCACTTGGTCCTGATCACCATCTCCAGGGCTGGGCACCTCTTCCCTGGGCTGCAGGTGTCTGCATTTGGGGCCTCTTCCCAGTGATGCGAGTGAGTGTCTGAGGAGGAAATGCTGTTAAAAACCAAAAGTCTAAAAAAACCCAACCCCCCTCAAAAAGGTTTCAGCAAAGGTTAAAAGCAGAAGGTTCTGCAGCTGCATGGGTGCAGATGTGCTGCTGCCCTGCCCTGGGGAGCTGGGGCTGCCCTGGAGCCGTTGGCCCCCCCGGGAATTCCGAGGGTGCACTTTGCATGTTTGTGTTCCGAGCAGATGCACAGATAATATCTGTGGCCGTGCTGGGTTTCATGATGGTGGATCTCGATTCACCTTTCCTTGCAGATTTACCCTTTAGTTCCAAGGTTC